TTCCCTAGTCAGGGAGCACGCTTGTACGTATTTTCTCTCATTACGTAATACGCGTCTCGGAGCATGATTCCACCTGATAATGAGTGGGCATCGGGCGTACGGTCGCCCGAAGCGCGAATCGCAAGGATGTAACGCGTATCTCTGCATAACGACGGTGCGATACGTAAAAGAAGGTAGAAGGTGGCCTCTCTTCGCTCGAGCGATGAGTGCGGCAAATCGCTCGCTTCCTGCTGCGCTCGAACGAGAAAGTTCATTCCTTTGTCGTCTTTGTATTCCCCGCTATGCATCGCGGCATTTACAACGTCGGAAAAATAGCGGGCCCCGGCTTTACTCGGCTCTATCCGAGATTCGAGCTTTTTTTTCTTTTCTTTTCTTTCGGTGCATATTTTTTGCATGAATCGCGAAATGACAGTTTCAAAGGTTTCTATTAGCGGATGGAATTGTCAAGCTCGTGTATTGTACGATAAATTACTCTGCCCTGAAAATCTATTTTCACGTTTATCAGAATGTTAAAATAGAGCCCTGAATTTTGCATACACACGCGATTCTATATTATATCGAATCGATCGTATGGATGTGCTTTATCTCGCACGTAAGGTGACTAATGTATTACATATTACAGAATTCATGCCACTTGATCCGTTTGATTTTTTCCGCCATGCAACTACGAAATTAAAAGGAAATGAAAATTACAGTAATAGTGACATTATTAGTACAGAATCATGTCGCGTGTTATGACGAATGAGCGATAAAGTGAGGGCCGTACGATGGAGCACGGCCTCTCGCGTGCTACATGCTTCGCAGTAATGTGCGTTTCCGCGGCGATAAGATTGATAAGATCAATTGATAAGGTCAAATGGTGGGATTGCGGCTCGAGCTCGTTTACGCCCAAAGTATCGGCGCGTTCAGTGATAACTCTCGCTTAAACGTGTCGACACGCAAACTGTCATTCGTGCTATTTAATTATTTATCGTAGCGTGATATCGTGGCAGCGAACTTGGTTTAAGAAATAACAATGCCTGGTAAGCAGTGACATTGAATACCGTAAAATTAGAGATTTAGAAATAAATAGGTGAAGGTATAGCGATCGAGTCACGTAACAAAGTTTATTTTATTTTGATCGCGTAGAGTACCATTAAGAAAGATAAAAGGAAAAGCAATGTCAATTTAAATTTCAAAGTTTTGTAGTTACATACATCTCTTTCACTTGCTTATTATTACATAAAAGAAATTTGTTGGAAAAATGCAGTTTATCGGCATGATTTGATAAGCGATCCGATAAATCATCGATCGAAATCTCGATGTCGTGACCGGCGATTTCGTGGAAGCAGACGGTTATTCGGCAATATCTGTCGCAGGTTACAGATGGACGAGATGGCCGGCGCCCTACGCCGATTCTCGCATGCTGATCTCGATCGGCAGGGATATGGACGGCACGAATCTCGTCGTAGGGCGCGCCATGCACCACGGTGATATGCTACCGGCGAAAGTAAAGCCGGATCATGGCGTTGCTTATGTATGCTACGGAGGTGTCGAGCATACGAAACATGACTTTGAGGTATACGATCCGCCGCGAGATAAACCGAGAGAGTTTCGATTAACTGTTCCTTTGATTAAATTAAACGTCGAATTTTGCGACAATTCCGAGACCCAAGTATATCGGCACCCAAGTTTCTATCACAATTACGTGAAACGAATCGAATGTGCGTGTAATCGTTATTTCGACAGTCTCGGTAATTTTAATCAATTTGCGATTGTGTAACGCACGGCTCTTTTCTACCTTTCTACTTTCAGCGGGGAGCGCCGGTTTCATAACGCTACCGTTCCCTTTTGCTTGCTAATAAGCGAATTAGATAGCTCGCGTAAAATCTTACGTAACACTCATGTACATCCGCAGCTATCTCTCTATATCCCCAGCGCATTTCGTTTTGATGGAGATAAGATTACCAATGTACGACGTGTTTTAGTCGCGGATATTTGCTCGGCAATATACCAGAGATGATCGAACATGCTTTATCGCTCCGATAAAAATCCTCTTCTCTCTCTCTCTCTCTCTTTCTCTCTTTTCGTTTATTTTTACGTTATCCTGTGTATCATCCTTTATTCGAGGAAATAGTAGCGGATTTGGGACATGTTGCGTACGAACGAAAATCGATACGGATAATTTTATTTCGCCGATTGACGACAGCTATTACGATAGTGGAGCGAAATGTTGTTTTTCGTCAAAATAGCAAGGATAACTTCGAAGATACAACATAGGCTATCGCTCGGTATTGATCGGTGGGAGATTCGACGCGGTACCGAAGCATTATATATCCCTTCGATCCGACATTAGACGAACCCTCTATTTGCCGTGGCAGCGCGCACTCGATCGTGTTCATCCGGAATCACTTTCTTTTGGTTCAACTTACACACACAAACACATACACATACACACATACGTGCAAGGAACGGCCACGGATCGCCCGCGGGTTAATCTATTTGCCATGACTGGAATGTCGGAAGAGAGAAGCGCGAAGTGTATATCGGTTTCGTTGGCCGAAGGACCCCCGGCGTGGGTCTACAAGCGGAAATATAATACGAAATATACTCTCGCATCTTAGGTGCTGATGCCCGCCCATTTCAATTGGATTCGAACGGGTCACGGCCACGTACCGGAACACGCGGTGGAGGCTGGGAAGACCGCGAACGGGGAGATGCTCTACGTCGGCCGTACTTATCACAACGGTATACCGTGCGTTGGAAAGGTATGTTCTTTCTTCGAAGAACCAAAACTGAAGGATATTATTTACGCGAATGAAAATCAAGGACGTATCTCTCTTCTGTTTGGCAGATACAGAGAAGTCACGGTGTCATGTACATCCCGTTTGATGGGAAGGAAATACCGTACAAGGAGTACGAGGTCTTGGTACAATGCTGAACCTTATCTGCGATCGCGTTTAGAAATATATCGCAACGAGGTACTTTCGCTTAAAACTGAAACTTGAAATTTTAAAAGAATTTATTAAAGAATGGATTATCTATTAATTACGAAAAAAAGATCCAGTCTGTAAAAATTTCAAAGAGACTCAAATGTTTTACATTGTATTTACAGAAGACAGATACGTAGAATTGAAACATTTTATTCATAATGTATGTATATTGTTATTTTACATATTTTTTTTATTCATTCGTATGTGCGTGTGTAATATATACTTTTTGGAAATGAGATATATTCACAAACAATTACGCGAGCAGCGCATTTTAAATTGTATCGTCGCGTCAATTTATGGAGGCTTCCGTGAGTTGAAGTTAGATTAAAATTTTATAAAGTTGAGACGAGACTGAGAATTGCGTTATTATCTATCCTCATTTAATTTCTATTAGTATGCAGAGAAAAGTAATTTATTGAGCTTTAAATTAATGCGGAAGGAGAGTGCATAACAAAACGTCGTCATGCGACTACCGGCAATAGCGTCGCTGTTTGCATCTTTTTTTATAATCTGGATCGTAACTACGGTACGTTATATATGGCTCAATCGCGATTCTCGTTACGTTACTCAATTTTTTTCAATTTTACTTTTTGCGTCGATGAAAGATCGTGGACAACGAATGATTCAGCAATACGGAGAAATATGAATCAGAAAAATATCATCAACTTCTTCGAATTTTATAAGAGGCCGTTTGTCATTTTGCACGAATGTATTTGCGTTCCGTAATTTTCAACGTAAAGATACGGTAAACATTATGATACCAATGTCAATTCATTTTATCTATAGATAAGACATTGATAATTATAAAAACGAACGAAAAAAAAAGGGAGAGAGTATCTTAAGATTATATAATTCAAAGAAATAATTTAGAGAATTATTTATTAAAATGCCATAATTATAATTACAATATTAATGTATCAAAAATAATTTTATAAATAATACTGAAAAAGATATATGCTACATTCGCCGTCGATGAAGACTATTTATAGCTCAATATTAAAATAATAAAAAATAGCTCTTTGCATATAAAATATTTTATTTATTATTTTGCTATAATAAAACACAAATATTTTTATTAACACATTAAAACCGCGAAATGCTTTCGTCGTACACCCCGTACAAATATTACAAAGCTACTCGAGTCAATTATCGTTGCGTTAATTTAATCGCGAGCGTAAGTATATACAGAGCGGCTTCTTATTTTGTCATCATTGGCGATTCAATTTTCACGCTTCTCGGCTAAGATCGTTTGAAAAGTAAATCCCGTATGCAAATAAATATCGCCGGTTGCGAGGGGTGGATAAGCCTAAAAGAAGTGAGCTGCTGTGCCGTGACGCAACCAGTGGTCGTTTTCCACCGGTACACCCGATATAGGTGGTTGGCACGTGGCCGTTGCGGCATTATATTTCCATGGTTGGCACGTGGCCGTCTGTCTCCACCTTCTGCGTCTTCGTCACTCTGCTCCCACCTTTCTCCTCTCTCCCCATTGTTCCGGGCTTCGGAGCGGAATTGTCAGTGTCTGTGTGCGTGCAGAGGATAGGGAGGGGACAGAGGAGAGGGGGAATGAAGCTTGCCCACGTGCGGGGCCGATCGTCCCCTTTTGATTAATTTTGGCTCGAATCGGCTGGCACGAACGAGGATGACGCTCGACAAAGGAGACCCGGGGGCGAGCACGAGCGCGCGAGGAGAGACAAAAAGAAGAAAAAAAAATGGCAACAGCTGGCAACGAGACCAGAATCGGCGGACAATGCCGCCCAGGCCGAGGAATGAGAGAGCATCCCTCTCGTCGCCGCCCCTCTCGAGGGGTCGATCGAGTTGATCGACACGCGCGCGATCATCCTTGCGTAGTATACGCGCGTTACGCCGTAATCGACGATGGAGGACGCGCGAAAGGGGAGCGACGTTATTATAGGGGTGAGTGTGCCCGGCCCGAAGAAAATTTCCAACGATAGATCGATGATAAATGGAACGTTTATTCATTTTTCTCGAAATCCCGCAAGCGTATTTCTCTTAGCAGTCAAGTCGATCACAGACACCACCTTCTTTCGCATAAAAACACAATCGTTGAATCTGGCATACCCAACTATGAATTTGGTGGGAAAACTTTATGGAATATATATGCGGGCGTATATATATACGGATTTTATAAAAATATCAATAAAATGTGCTCGACTGCGCTCCCCGATATAGAAAGACGCCGCCAAGTTTTTCTTTTACGTTATCGAGTGATTTACATGATATCGATATCGGATGGGAGAGGAGATTCTCTCTCTTTTTCTCTTTAAATGTTTGTGCATATAAAATGAAAGACTTGGTACTCCGATCGTTTTCACGTCCATCTGCAATTTTCATCGAAGCTTTTTTCGCGGGTATCTTTTTTACTTTTTCTTTTTTTGCTCGTGTATGTATTTGCGGCGTGGACAACATCGTTAGCATGTATCGTTCGATATATCGACTCGATAAATCCGCGCTTATTGCGGTTTATGTCAGTCATATCGATCGTTGCATTGCAACAAGGAAATATTCGTTACAGAAGTATAGAACTTGTCATATTGCTATCGATATTTTTCTCACATATATATTTGTCCTTGCAACACACAAATTACATTTCTAAGATCTCGATTTCCCAATAGGTTTAAACTAGAGCAAGCATGATTTAATAATCTATGATATAATAAAAAGAAATCGCAATTATATATTTATTTTTCATAAATCGATCGTTTTAAAAGGTAGAATTTTGATGACCGAAATAAAGTAAAGCTTTATTATACGCATTTAATCTGATTCGTCGCATTGATCTTTGTGTATCGGATGCACTGTTGTACTATTGCAAGTGCATATTTTATTTAGACGGATCTGCTTTCTGGAAGCCGTCGGTCTCCATCAAATGTACCCATATGGCGCGACCGATACGGCAACCAGAACCAGAATCGGGGATTCAAGTCTGAGAGCGGTGAGAAAGAGAAAGAGGACAGCTGTTCTCCCCGCTATGTCGAGAGAGCGTTGCAGCTGCTGTTTCGTACTTTACAGATCCACCAAATCCACGGACAAGCCTAAGCGAATGATATGTATCAAACTGCAGTCTTATCAACTTATTTACAACACATATCGCGTAATAATAAAATAACATTTTATTGGGCGGAAGAAGTTGAAATTCTCTCTCAGTTTCGATAATAATTATTAATTAATTTGTTTACAAAGCATATTTTGTTTCTTATTTTATCATTACAATCGCTCTTTAGCAATACACTTTATTTATTGCGCGGAAAATCAATAATCTTCGATTCCGGTGCTGTCTTTTTATAAAGTATAGGAAATAACAAGAGAACAACTTCTTTCTTTTTTTACAATTTTATCATAGCAATTATGCAAATTGAATCGTACAATATATGAAGATATATGTTTATATAGAATATGTTTGTATATATATAGATAATATTTAAAAATAATATATTTCAAGATTAAATGCGAAAAAAATTTTGGAATGAAAGCGCGAGAGATTAAATTATGCCGAATTGGATTTAATTATTTTGATTTCGCGCATATATTTTGCATATATTTCTCCGAATGGACAAAAGTCAACTTTCTGAAAAATCTTGATATACGGTTCGCTCCGAGAGCGCATTTCGTCGCTTTCCATTCTAATCTCATTACATAGCACCACCAATACTAATTAATTTATATCAGATTCTATTGTTATATAAAAAAATTTGATTCTTTTATTTAAATTATATATTCTATCAATTTATATATATTAAACGAAAAACACAGAGTGTGCATCCCTTATTTACAGACTTTACCGGACTGCCTAGGCAAATGACAGCTCGTTTCCGCATGTTCAATGTATTCACGTCCAGTAAGCAACTTCGATTCGCGCTTGCTCTCCTTTCTCGAGAGCAATAATTGCCAAGTTGACAGCTGTACCAACAGGTTAGCATTTTGGACACCGACGGAAGGAAGGCAGAACAGGAGGTGGAGGGAGAGTAGTGGGCCTCTGCGTCGGTTACGGGGGTTGGGGTAGTCCTTGTACCGATTCCGCGGGTCCCTTCTCTCTCTTTCTCCCCTTCCCGCTCGTGCTGCTTTTCCCCGTCCGCAGCTGCAGCTGCGCCGCACGCGGGCCCATCGCCATCTGCCATTAGAGGCTGCACGCGTGCACGCGTGCTGCGTCGGGCCCCCCAACCACGTAATGGCCTCGTAACAATAATAATAAGGAGTGTGCTAAGGTTTCGATTGCTCGCGACGACGGTTTCTCCTTTCAGCCCCCTATGAACGACTCGGAATTATAAAGCGATACGAACCAAACGACTGTGCACGCTACTCGCAAGATTATTACAGTCGCGAGCCGCATTTCCGATCATTTATTAGAGCAACGAGTAGTAACGACAGTAATAAGGTATACGATCGAATAAATAAAGTAGCGAAAATTTCTTGAGATGTCAATCGTGTTTATTAATTGATCGAAAAGAAGACGAATAATCATTAGCGATTTTATTAAATAAATTGTTTTAATAAAATTTTGAGGGATTTTTTTTTTCATGGATGCTCCTTTGGAATGCTTCTTTTGATGATACATGAAACAAATGTAGTTGATGAGTAATATATACAATAATAGTTATTATATGTATAACTTTATGCAAATATATGCTTGCAATAAAACCTACGAGATCGCCCTCAGCGTATTCTCGCATTTCGATATTGTAGGAGGAGTCGTGCACAAATTAGCATGACCAAGGGCGAATAGAGAGGGCGCGAGCATGACGCAGGGGGACGATACACGCGACATAAGGGATGCAACAATGGTCGTAGCGACGATTTTTGCGTTCGCAGCGCATGGGCGGTTTCGCAAAAAAAAAAGCTTTGTGCCATTCGTGCAATAACAAAAAACCGGCTTTACAAAGAGCTCATGTTTTTTTTTTTATTATGGATGTGCTATTCAATACAAACTGAGCAGGGCAGATGTAGAAGCAGAAACTATTATAACATTGCTGCAGCAATGCTAGTAGAGCAGGAAAAAGAAGCCGAAGAGAGAGAAAAGTTAATTGATTCGTGGCGATTAATTCGCGATAAATCAGACGCAAATTGATTAGCAAATTATAAACAAATATATTATCTCTTATTCGAGCAAAAAATGTGCGTGTTACACGCATATCTATTTGTACGAGAAATTTTGATTGATTGTTTTGTACGATATCAAATTATACGATAAAATTTTTATATCAGTTAAAATATTGTTTTACTCAGAGCTGAACACTTAAGCTAAGAAGCGTCGTTTGCCGCAGTTATTTTTTTTTCCGCTTGTATTTTCTATGCGCGACGCGGTCGTCACACAAATTGTACCGGCCATCAGAAGGCAACTGCCAGGCGCTTTTATGGCCTCCGCGCATCTGGCTCTCTCGAGTCTCGAGGCGCGCGTCCACGGGTACGTTTAAAAAATTAAAAGTTAAGACCTCTAGAGAGGTCGTATTCCTCCCCTACATCCACTCTCGTTTTTTTTATTTCACCAGGAAATACGTGGAAGGCACGGCACAGTCGACCTATTTCTCTGAAGCGCGTTATCGGCCGATGAAATTAAACCACGTGAGTAGATAATGGATTACACGCGCGTGTATCATCAGTCATATATTATCGTCTTTAAATTCTAGGCGAAATAAAAAAATCATAATATCATGGCGATTTTATTTCGTCTAGTACGATAATCCTGTTCCCTCTTGCGTTCGTTTCCATCGACAATAGCGTTGTTGAACTTCAACCGCAATTTGAATGCGGAATATTGTATGATTTTTATCGTCGGACCGTCACAATCTCACGTGCAAATGAATACCTACTTAATTCTACATTCCCGCATGAGAGGTAGAAAACGAAAGAATATCGAGACGATATTCACGGTTCGGCAAACGTTATCATTGGAAACTGCCAGATGTACACGTGAGAGACCCCCGACCTCGTGCGTGCTGTGCGTTTCACACGTACGTATGGAACGCACACAAACGCACTATGACGTCGGTCGTGTGGGTGGCGGTGTGCGTATCCG